GGTCCCGCGCCGCGCGCGCACGCGCCCCTCCGCCCGCGAAACGGAACCGCGCAGGCCCCAAAAATCTACAAAGGAAGGAGACTCAAGGGCAGGGAGAGCATCCCGGAGCCCGCCTCCCCTGCCCGGGGGGGAAGCCGGGCCGGGCCGGGCTGAGCCTGGGCCCTCGATTTTAGTTATTTATTTCAGATGCCTTGCTTTATTATTATTATTATTATTAAAAACCCTTTGCAGATTCGTTGGTGTGATGAGTTCAGTAAGTTGAATGAATGAATGAATGAGTTTGAATGAATGAGTTTCTGGGTTTTGAGAGGTGGGTTGAACCCTCTAAAGAGGGCGTGCCCTGAGTCAGGTGCAAAAGAGAGAGAGCCTGGTTCCCTGCCCTTCCCCGCCCCCCCCCCACCGACTTAAGACCCAGAGAATCCCGCTGTGTGTGATCACCCATCCCAGCTGGAAATGGGATTTGAGTTGTGTGCCCTCAGGGTGGGAGCCCCAGAGATTTCCATTTTACAACTCAAGAAAGATGATGGTCTAGGTTACTTTGTCCTAATGACTACTGAGGGTGGGGGAGAGGCTGATGCTCTACTAATTGCGTCAATAGCTTCTTTTGGGGACAGTTCATTGGAGATAAGGATTTGAGAGAGTTACCTACCCAGGTGCCTTTGAACTGTGATCCTTATATCTCAGCCTCTTGAGTAGCCGGGATTACAGCCTGAACCACCAACACCCCATTCACACACCAGTCTTTAATTATGCAGCACTTGGTGCTTCTAGGGCCCCAGACAGCAATCCCAAACTGACCTTCCAGTTAGAAAGGCAGTTCCCTCTGGTGGGTCCCAGAGGCCTTACCTCCTTTCCGAGGGCTGAGTTATCAGCTGGCTTGTGGCATTTAAGTATGACATGCAAACATCATGTCCCTAGGTTAAATGAAGATGACTGGCATATTCTGGAAGCAATGGAAGTCAGCGTACAACAGAGGTAGCTGCAGACTCATGCTGATCCCTCTACTGTTCACAAGAGCCAGGTTATGAATCAAACTACGAGCCTCTCAAACAGGTAAAGGATAAAGAAATGCAATGATAAAGAAACTGTAATGTACACACACTAGGGAGTTTTATGCAGTCATGGAAATGAAATTATGTAATTGAAAGAAAAGGGAAGGAACTAGAGATCATTCTGTTCAGCTAAAGAAGGGTGACTCAGAAAAGCAGATGCTCAATGTCTGCTCTCATCTGCATAATCTACCTCTGGGGAAAAAAAAGACATGAGTGCAAAAGAGTGCCCAATGGGGAGAAGCTATCTGATGTAAAAGAGAGGAGCTAAAAGATGAGGGAGGAAAATACGGTAGAAGTACATCGCGAGAAAAGGCGATAGCAAAACACAAACACTTTTTGTGAGAAAGTTGAAAAGAGAATTGGAGGGAAAGGGGTAAGAAATAGGAGAGGGTGAATATCAATATAATTTTCATACATTATATTGATGCATGAAACTATCACAGTAAAACCCCTCACCTTGTACAATTGCTATATACTCATAAAAATACTAAATTTCACCCTTCTCTGGTAGGCTGACACTACCAGTTGTGCCATTCTCCAACCCTGATCTGACTCTGCAAGTTGTTTATTTGAAGAATCTCATCTGTGACCCTCTTAAGAATTAAGGTACATTTGCTCTTCAAAAGATGTTTATGTTACACATCGTACTGAAGTATATATATGTATATATATATGTATATACACACACACACACACATATATGGTTATACTTGGCCAAAATTTAATGACTTAGTAAAAAGCTTTACTGTCTGCCTTTCAATCTTAATGCGAATGAAGTTTGGTGGCTCCAGGAAGCCAAGGACTGATTAATTTGGGTCATTTAATGATTTAAAATTTATAGAAACAAGCAGATTCTTCTCTCTGATGCAATTACAGAATTTGCAGGCTAAGACATTTTATTTGACATTTCATTTATTGAGACACTCCTTTATTTTTCCCAGACTGAGAAATACCATCCAATTTGCCAATCATTCATCCTTCCAATGGTGACCTAATTCTCTTAGGTGGGTGCAAGACCCTGCTTTCTCGGGCTTAGCTAGGCAGAGCTGAGCACAGGGAGATGGCCCTTTGCTGGCTGAAAGTCCACGTGCCCCTAGCTCATTCTCTTTCCTCTATACCCTTTCCTAACACTCCTTAACGTAAAACTTGCTTGAGTAAAAACTTTATGCTTAGAGTACTTTCAGAATGATTTTTATCTCTCAACTACTAAGCAGCTCAATCCCAAAATTTTCCTCCCATTTTCTTATGATCAGAAACAATCCCTTCTGCTCTCATGAATCCATCAAAGACTCTCTACTGGGGAATATTTTATAGGCAATCACCTAAGTCACCTGGAGGAGAAAAACTGAACCAACCCAGAAGGAAAAGTAATGGTCTTTGTTCTCTACGCTTCTCTTTGGCCCTCACAGATGAGCAAGGCTATCTATTGAGAGCGGCCTTGAGTGCAAGTGGTCCTTCCTTCCAAGTTCACCTGGCCTAAGAAATACAAAGCAAATTCTCTTGTTGGAGCCCCTTACATAAGGAACTTGATGTGGCTATTTCTTGGTTTGCTTTGTGCTGCTTTATTTCACAAAGGCCTTAGCTAATCTTCACTTGGAGCCAGAAACTTCTGCTTTGCAAGGCAGTTCTCCAGCTATTCCATTATCTGTTGCATAAAAGATGATGAGGGAAGTTTTCGGCTGCTGCCTCATGTTTTCGTTTCTGGGTGCCATGTGCCAAGATTCCCTCCCATGGGAAAAAGCAAGGGGGAAACTACTTTCAGTGAAAGGCGTAGTGACTGTACACTGGCTTGAATTTGAAGCTAAGCTTGGATTTTTACACCCTCCCCCCTAATTTTCAATGGTTTTAGGGAGAAAAGGCATAAAGCAAAGAGGGAACTTAAGTTTTCTTGTTTATTGCTCTACTATAGAAACCTGGTTCTCCTTCTCACTTAGGATTCTTATAGCACTTCATGTACATATTAATATAAAATATAACTCATTCTTTATAAATATGCATGAGGAAATGATTGAAACTAAGTTTAAGTATCAAAAATGTAAATTTAGAAAATTCTGTTAACTTGGTAATGAAAGTATTAGCTAAATGAAAGAAAAATTCAATTATGTATGATATATGATTGTATTACACACATATATATAAAACATATATGTGATATTATATATGTATATCACAAGCTTACATATCCCCCAGGGGAAAGTTGTGATTCTTCTGTTAGACATTTAACTTCCAAAATCAAACTTCCATATTTCATCTAAACTCCATCTAGTCACAATGGTATCCAGTAATTTGGTGCTACTCTAACAATAAAAAATAACAAAGACATTAAAATCATAAGTAACATTCTTATAAGAAGTAGATATATTTTTTTTTCTCTTAACACTGCTGCAGAAGAACATGCAGGCAGTTTGTTCTATCCATATTTTCCAGACATAGTTGAGAGGTTTACCACATTATTTTTCCCAAAGCAGAAGTACATAGAAAAGGGCTGTAGTATTCTCAAGTTGCTTCTATAATATCAAATTTCCAAACCCAATATAAACATATTATCTCATATGTTCTTTACACCAATGGTTACTTGAAATTCAAAAAAGCATTTAAGATTTTTTTATTTTATATTCAATCAGGATTTTAGTAGATTTTTCTCAGTAGCATATTTAATGCTTATACAAATATTGAAGGTGATAAACTATGTTCATGTCATTCTGAAAGTTAGGTTAAAATAATGGTGGTCAGGAACAATTAAGGCAATAAAGAATTTATAATGATTAATAAGTAGTAATGACCTAGTTAGAGAAACAGCTTATAGACAATGATATAATAAAGATTGGGCAGCAGAGATAGAAATTGCCTTCAGGGTATACTCCCTCTAGAAAATGTTCATTTGAAGCATTCAAAGTCCATTAATCAGAGAGGTCTGTCCTGATTTTTATACTTATGGTAGGTTTAGATTGTAAATTAGAGCTAGTTATTTCAGGACAAATATTCTTTATGCTCTACCCATATTTGAAATATCCAAAGGTTAAAACAATTTCTATAACAATTCTGTTATAGGAATAATGCTGTTACTCAAACTTGGATCAGTACCTTCAGCAAACCTACACTCATTTTCCTATGATTATTTTTAGGTTAGAAAAACTAGTCTTTCCTTGGTGCTCTACAGAATTCTGCCATCTTGTCTTAAATGGCTGATACTAAATTTGATTTTCTGTGTATGTAAATTGTATTACATATGTAATATGTAATACAAATATATGTATTGTA